TTTTAAATAATATTAACTCCTTTCAAGATTCCTTTGTTTTAAAATAAAAAAGTAAAAAAGCTGACTCATCACGTGATGGGACTTACAAGAGAACAGCCCGTAGAAATGGCTTCACAATTTAGGGGTGATTATTATATAGTGTCAAATATACAATATATTAAGTGTATCGATATTTAAAATTTTTTTAAGTAATACTAACTCTTCCTCCAAGATTTTCTTGTTAAAAACATTTTTTTTAAAAAAAGAGAGAAATTGACTCATCACGTGATGGGACTTACAAGACAACAGCCCATAGAAATAACTCCATAATTTAGGGGTGGTTATTGTAAAGAATTAAATGTACAATGTATTAACTATTTAACTATACTGATATTTAAAATTTTTTAAAATAATACTGACTCCTTCTTTCAAGATTCCTTTGTTAAAAACAATTTAAAAAAAAAAAAGGAGAGAGAGAGAAACTGACTCAGCACGTGATGGGACTTACAAGACAACAGCCCATAAAAATGGGTGGGGTTATTGCCACAGCCACTAATGTTAATGCCACAGCTTTTTTTAGTTATTTGACTATTATACCTCTCATTTGAATCCAACTTGCAGCAGTCACTACCTTCTCCGCGTGGGTTAATGGTCAAATAACTGAAAAAAGCTGTGGCATTAACATTAGTGGCTGTGGCAATAACACCACCCCATAAAAATGGCTCCTTAATTTAGGGGTGGTTATTGTAAAGCGTCAAATATACAATATATTAAGTATACCGATATTTAAAGTTTTGAGACCCGAAAATGCAGGATTGATTGGCAGTTCTGGCAACATTCGGATCACTCACCATGTGGTCTCCACTTGGCTTTTTAAATAATACTGATTCCTTCTTTCAAGATTTCCTTGTTAAAAACAATTTAAAAAAAAAAAAGAGAGAGAGAGAAACTGACTCAACACGTGATGGGACTTACAAGACAACAGCCCATAAAAATGGCTCCTTAATTTAGGGGTGGTTATTGTACAGCGTCAAATATACAATATATTAAGTATACCGATATTTAAAGTTTTGAGACCCGGAAATGCAGGATGGATTAACAGTTCTGACAACATCCCGACGACCCATTATGTGGCCTCCACTAGTGGAGGTCACAGGATGAATGATCTGAATATTATCAGGACTGGAGTCAGTCCTGACAACTAATTTTTCGTAAACTTTTTTTAAGTAATACTATTAGTAACTCCTTCCAACATTCCCTTGTTTGAATAAGGTTTTAAGCTCAATGGTTCGTTCTTAAATTTTACGGTTTGAATGAGGCGATGATCAGGGTTTTGAATTCTATAATTACCATAAATTTCACTAACAAATAGTCTAATGGTTATGCACCTCATTTGAAAAGATGAAATGTTCATCGATCTGAGAATTTCAGTTACTAACAACTAAGTCATACTAATTTCATAACCATTATTCTTATAAAAAAAAATAAAAGGAAAAAAGGAGAAACTAACTCTAGCCTACGGTGGGATTTACAAGACGACAGCCCATAGAAATGGCTCCACAATTTAGGGGTGGTTATTGTAAAGTGTCAAATATGCAATATATTAAATATATCGATATTTAAAGTATTTCTAAAATACCTGGCCCTTAAGCAATAGCCACCCCGGTGCATTCTCCCCTCCCCGAGCTGGGTTCGAAACCCACCCCTTGTAAATATGTTTAAAAAAATAATAATAATAAAGTATTTCTAAAATAACATTTACACCTCCTTTTGAGATTTTCTTGTTAAAAAATAGAAAAAGAGGCTCCGCATGTGACGGGCCTTATAAGACAACAACCCATAGGAACAACTTTACAGTTTAGGGGTGGTTATTGTAAGCGTCAAATAAACAATATGATATTAACTCATTCTAAGATTCCCTTCTTAAAAAAACAAAAAAATA